GGTTTAGGGTTTGGGGTTGAGACCACGTCCACGTTGAGGGAAGGAGCCTACAGAGAATCCCCCCTTTTCTGCAAAGAGCCCATGTTGGCGGCGAAAGTTGGATCAAAGGCTCAGAGCCGTCTCCATGATGTCAACAGCTGTTCAAGGTACACCTTAAACTGCCCTATAAGCCACGTTTTTGACGAAGCCCTATGTGACAAAGTGGGTTGAGGTACCTTTACTGCAACACGTGTAGGAAGGTGCGGGGAGCAAGGTAGAAGACCATGCGGCAAGATCCCTTTGCTCCGAAAGGGGCGCTGGGATCGTTCTTGAAGCCGCAACTCGGCTTATTATGTTGACCCTCGAAACCCCAAACCCTAAATCCCTTATTCCGCATAAAAGACGAAGGCTCACCCGAGAAACCTCGATCCCCGACTTCGCCGAACCCCTGAGCACAGCACTTCTCCCTGGGACGCCCCCCCCCCCCCCTCCAAAAAAAGGACTCCAAGCCCCGAGCCTCAAGTCCGTAAACATCATAACCCTGAACCTTTAATGAAATTGTTCGCATGGTTACTAATGTCATTCTTGTGATGGTTGCTATTATTATCAGTATCACCCCTAAATCCCCAAACTCCAAACCCCTAAACTCGTAAGACACTTCGTAGAACCCTCACGGGAACCTGTTAAAAGGCACTTCGAAACCTTCAACCTAAGACGAAGCCGATCCTGAAACTCATGCGTCTTTTTGTCGAGGGTCCGTCTACATCGATCATTTTGAAGAGCTGTTGGAGGTCTGCCTGCGGGCTCTTTGTTCTTATGATGTTTGATCGGGTTCTACACGGGTTCTGCTTAGCTCTATCAGGTCAAGCATTAGGGATCAGGTCTTGGTTCTGGGATTTGGGATTAAAGGCTTCGGGCCACTGATCTCTTGCCGGACTACATTCTACAACGCCCGGAAGAGCTGGACGCACCCGAAGCGGGACACCCCGTTGGAGCCTCAAGCCACCCAACACGACGGGCTTGCCCTCCGAACACCTTGAGACCTCCTATGAAGCTTGCGACCGGCAGCTTAAATTCGAAAATTCTCAAAGAAGGGGCTGTCCGACACCGAGAGACTTCAGTCATCAGAGCCCTGAAACCCCAAAGTGCTGCACAATCATCAACTCAAGGTCTCTACATAGACCAAACATCGTCTGCCGGCCCCTGACCCAATCCTGGCCTTAACATACGGGCGTCAACAAATTCGACCAGGGCTTTGTGGGTCTATCATACTGTTACTATGTTACAATGTTTAGGCTGTTCAGGACGCGAACACCCAGGAGTCAGCATCCCGAACAAGGGGCCTAAACGGGCCTGCCATTGCTGCGATGTCTCTACTGTCGGACAAACCAGGAATAGCATTACGCGTGCTCTCCGCGTCTGCATTCTCAAGAAACCAACAGCAGAATATCCCTAAACTCCTAAACCCTAAATCCCAAACTCCTGCCAACGCTTCGATGACTTCACCGGATATCGGCCGGAGGCTCCTAATTGAGCAGATGAGGCTGGCCCAAATCGTCGCACAATTTTGGGTGGCTTAGGTGGGCTATCTAGAATCTGATTTAGCCGTGTAGGGATGACGACCCACCCACAGATCGTTGGAGATCGGTGCCTCGTCAATATCCATCACCCGCAATCGGCTTTGAAATTCGGGATCCTGTGGTCGGAGCTTGACTGGGTATCTGGCGGTAAGACGACGCACGAATTGCTTTGTAACTCAGAGCCTACGGTACGACCTGTGTCGGCGTTCGTGAAGTCCCATGGATTTGTCTCTCTTTATGTTGCATCAGTATCACGTCGACTGCCGTAGAGAAACAAAGATAGATCTAGCTAAACGCCTGTAGTTCAGAACTTGACTGCATGCGGTTTCAGTAGAGCAGGACCAACAGCACATGTTCTTGAACTTGCAGCGCATGGATCTGCCGGTCCGAAAAGAGCAAGTCATAATTCAAAACATGCGGCAAAACTACTCCCCGATGAAAGGCCCCGGTCTCATGAGGAAAGAACCACAGGGAAACAAAAACGCTGCCGGCCGAGGCTCATTTCTGGCTCCCTCTAACAGCTCCTCGAATGTGAGCTCACCACCTCAGATGGTGGTCAGACTTTGAACAACACAAGATCTCTCGCCGCGATAACAAGCAGCAGCAGCTGTAGTAGAAGCAGCAGTAGAAGCTTAGTAGTAGACTTATATATGAGAGCATTTGCAAAAGTAAGTACCGACGCTATCTCCATCAAACGATTATCGCATTGATGCTAGTGTGAATGTTTCCGTTTGGTGGCAATCGTAGCCGCCGTCGTGGTAGCAGCACTACGTGTACCCCTCGTCGTAGCAGTGGTAGCAGAAAAAGAAGTGCTACTTCTTACAAGTAGTCGTCGTCATCGTTTTCGTTGGTAGTTGCAGTGGCAGTTGCATTGGTAGTAGCACCAGTACTGGTTGTTGCTGTTGCTGCTACTGCTGCTGCCGCTGCTGCTGCTGCTGTTGTTGTTGTTGGCAGCTGGAGCGATTTCAGGGCTGCAATGTGCTAAAACTCGAGTTTTGGCACATGGCCGTCTGGACAACAAAAACTGCGCTTTGCATTTCGTGTCGGTGTTTGCGGTGTTCTCCTGCAGAACATGTTCGTCGTCAGGGCTGCACTGTGCCAAAGCTCGGCTGTTGTCACATGGCAGCTTGGACTTCCATGGGGTGTTTGCAGTCATGCGCGGCTTTCCCGTTTCCGGTTTTTTCTTGCAAGTCGGATGCTTTCTTCTTTGGACTTGCTGTGTCTGTGTTTCTGCTTGCTTCCGTGCAGAGGTGTGGGCACGCCAATGCGGCTTGCTTGTCGTAGTGTTTCTTTTTGCTCCGTGCAGGATGGGGAGGGGGGGGGGGGGGGGGGGTTAAGGATCCTGAGAATNNGGTGATAACGTCCATGCCAATGCGGCTTACATGTAGTGTGTGTTCATGATTGTTCATGATTGGTGACGGTCATGAAAATGTTGATGCTCCTGGTTAGGATGATTTTGATAAGTATGTATGACGATTATGATAATTCTGTTGTTTTCCAGGCTGTTGGTTCTTCTTGCGGAGGATAAGGATGGCCATGACAACAATTATGGTGATAACGATGAAAATGACAACGACAATGTTGCTTCCTGTTGCTGCTGCTTTCATGTTACTTCTTAGATGCTCCCAATACAGAAGTATCGCGCTTTGCGGGCTCTCCACACAGAAACTTCAAACACGGACGCAAAACTCAAGAACAAGCAGCGATAATCACGGTATTTACGACGCTTTGGCAAAAAAACACTTGAAAAACAAGAACAAACATGGAACAACAAAGGGGCAAAACATCCTCTTATTCACGAAAGCCACACCAAACTCTGGGTCACCCGGCTCTTGACAAACAACAATCTATACAAGCAAAACAAAAACCAACGTCCGCGGCGGCAGACCCAACGCCTACCTTGTTGTGTGTTGCTGTTGCTCATGTTCACACGCTGAGACCTGCAGCAGTTGGTAGTGCCCTCATCGGCTGTACCTTTTAGTCAGGTGTGTGGGAGCTGCTGCTTGGAGTGACGACACTGTGATAGAGCTGGGTGAAGAAAGTTTCTTTGTTCCAAAAGCACTGTGAGCTTATCATCTTTCGCCCGCGCCCGGTGCGCTTCTCGGGCGACGAATCTGCAATCTATCAACTGCAATCTGTTACCTCAGCAGACAATGAAGTCTCCTGGTCAAGATCCTTGTTCTCCAAGACCTTGAGAAGCTTGTGTCTTCCTGTTGCTTTAAGTCTTGGTGTTGAGAGTTTCAGCTCGAAAGCTATGGGAACTAAAAGTTGAGCCTTTGGATTACATAGGCATTGCGAGTAACCCCCCCAAACCAGAAAAGCTGAAGGTTACATGCTCGATTACTAGCCCTAAACCCTAAACCGGAGACCATGAGCCCCGAAAACGATCTTGGCGCAGCAAGGCGGCTTCCATCTTCGTCCGCACGGTCAAATATTCTCCTCAGCACGAAGCCCGCAATGAACATATGGAGCTTGGGCTAATCTTCAGTAAGGCTTCCTTGAAAGGGTACTGTTAAAAGGGATCTGTAAGAGATTAATAATAATGTTTCTGCAACATAGGGAACTGAGTAGTTAGAACAGAGTCTTGGGGCAACATATAAGGAAGCCTCAGGAATAACATTGCCTTTCTGCCTCCATCATCCTCATCCCACAACCCCTATCGCCCAAACGGGGTCTCGCTAAACTAAGCCCAAAAACGCGCATTGGACGACATCAAATCTCAGGAGAAAGGCTGATTAGGGTTGGTTCAGGGATTCGGACTCTTTTTCTTTGCTGAAACTCATTCGGTCTTGCAGAGTCTCACCCTAAGATTCCAAGTATACAAATATTACCTACTTTGGTGTCTGATTGAAGCCTATAAATAATAGATACTTTGTGCTATTGTGAAGCTCAAGGTTAGGGGGCAGCCTTGTGCCCGCTCGCAAGTGCAAACACATGGGCTTTTGGGGTAGGTTTATACTGTTATTACCAGAAGGAACTCCCATGCCGAAGAACCCTAAACCCTATAATCCCCGAAACCCTAAATCAACGGTTTTGCGATGCTGCGATCGATATCCGTCGACCTCTTCTCAGCATTCGACTGTGAACATGAAGGGCCTGCAAGATTTGGGATCCTTGTGCTCGGGACACCTGAAAGAAAGGAGCCCAGATTTTTTTTCCAAAGAAGCCCAAAGCTCTATAAGCTCTAAGCCCTAATAAAGCCCTAAACCCCTAGCCAAGAAAACAAGGCTCTGCAAAAATCGACGGTCTTGTTCGATCTCGGCTTCGAGCTCCTGGCAGCAGTGGCCTACTTGAAGGATCGGGGGACTCAGTAAGACTAGTTCTTGTACCCTGATTTACGCTATAAGCAATGATAAGTCTCTTGAAGCAACAGTAAGTATTTAGGAGATCAGCGGCCAGTCTCGCCATATCTTGCCCTGATTATCCCCACCACCACCACCGCCGCCACACGTCTTGCCCAAGCGCAGTCCGAACTCTTGATCTAAACTCGTCTACATCGCTGCATGACCTGGCTTGGGCCTGAGCCCCAAGTGCGAGACCCGGCATACCGTGGGTTGGGAGGGCTCAGAGTGTCGAGGTTGTGCTGCTTCTGCTGCACTTGAGCGCTATCTTTGTGGTCTGAGGCTTGAGGTCAAGGGGGGTATGAGTTGCCTGCTGTTATCACGACCGCGTTTTTTCAGTCTCGCCGTATGTCAGGCATAGGATCTACGCAGTGAGCACTAAACCAAGGGATAGAGAAAGGTTCGAATCATTGTCAGAACTGGAGTCCGTCTACTAACCATTCTGCAAGTATTCAACAGTATCATTTGGGGGTTTCCGAAAATAGGGGACCCTAATATAGTACCCTCCCGAGTCTAAGGACCCCAAAGTAAGGTACCCCTAGTTTTCGGAAACTCCCATTTAACAACTTATTGTGAAACCTGGGAAATCGTGCCTCGGCTCGATTCATCACATCACGCTCTCGAAGTTCTGCAAATGTGTCGACGACGACCTGAGACAGTTTCAGGTGGGCCAAGACTTCGGCATTTGTGGTACTTTATGGAATATATAAAGGTATCCATAGTATCGGGGTAGGCAGTGCTCTAAAGCCTTGAATGGAATGGTTCCGGACTGCCGGATGCCTTGGGCCCCTGAACATCACCAACCTGTCAAGGGCCTCCCGGGCCTCGACAAGTGAATGCGCTTCGGCTAATGTTGGGTCCTTAGTATAATTATAGTATAATGGGCCCCAAGACCCTATTCTAATCAAAAAGACCCCTATAATATTACCGTCAAATGAACGGATGTAGAGTCTGTGCTAGCACCAAGTGCGTCTAGGACTGTCTAGGCACACCTGGAAACAACGGTCTCAGTAGCCGAACTTCCTTTCGCGGCAGGTTTGCCTCGTCGCCCCGAAGCTCCCTCTGCCCAGAACGTGGCTGTGACTTCCTAGAGGAGGTGCGTGGACAGCCTTTATGCCGGCATGGGGCTGAAGAGGCCCAATCAAACTCCAGGGCTTTAAGAAGCTTACAGCCGAAGGCTCAGAAGCTGGCAGCCCTTCGTCACACACTCTACATCCTAAAACGCTAGGACCCCTAACATAAGGTCACCTTGAACAGGGACTCAGAAGTGTAAGAACCCCCCTCAACCTGACCACCGCCAGAATCTTGCCGTCAGGTGTCGGCCACGATCAAGTTGAGCACCTTGGCTTGCGCTCTCTAAGTCAGGGTCCTTTTTCGGGCTCCTTAAAGGAATCTATAAGGGTTTCTATCGGGGAACTAAAACGGGGTCTATGGGCAGTTTTCGAAATTAGGGTCCCTTTTGTGGCACCTCAAAGGAGGAGGCACTCTTTTCAACTATTACGAGATCTATTTGCCCTGGTCTCTCTTTCGCGCTCTTATTGCTGGAAGGTTAACTGCTCTGGGAGACGCTGGGGGACGAGGGTTCGTCTGGGTTTTCAGGGTGCTTCTGTGGTATCTGTGTGGCATGGTAGGAGCCGCTGCTACTGAGCCTGGAAGGTTGGTTTCAAAGGCCGGAGGATTCAGCCTCGGTAAGACGGCCACCAAAACAAACTGCCAGGGGCACAAAAGAACCGGCCAAAACTTCG